TAATATATTTATTTACAAACAATTACATACTAAAATTAAAAATGCAGTAACTATTATAAAAAATAAATATTTGACAGACTTTCAGATGATTTATATATACAATATAATCTTGCTTTCTCATATGGAATATAAATCACAACTTATATTATCTCTAGTAATCTAGTGTAAACAGATTATTACTACATTTTTATCTTTTTTTTAAAAAGAAATTTAAGCTTTTAAGACATACACCAATAGACCTTTTTCATTTTTACTATTTTTACAATCTCATTCCCTTACATCAAAAACTTCTTTAAAATTTTAGTTCAGCATTTTTACAGATGATCAATGAGCCTAATATACTTGATTTATTCTTTCATATTAAAATTAAATATCTCTAACTTAGAGAATAACTGTTCAAAAGTTCTTTAATTTATTGGCTGTATACTAACTCATGAAAAAATAATGATTGGCTACTCTCACTATTGTATTCACTTAAAATATATGAAATGTCATTAATGCTTTCTTTCAGCATACATTATTTAGTAACAAGAGGTTTACATATGATTTTTGACTTAATTTCTAATCATTATAGAACTTTCTCAAATAATTTGAGAAAATGCTTCATTTTTTTTATAGAATAGTTATTCAATTACTATGAAAATTACATATTTACTTATAACAATCTTTTCTTAATCACTAATGTGAAAAAATATTTTCGTAAGATATTTAAATGGTTTACAATAATTGGACGCCTCTTTAATTTGAATAATAAATAAATTACATTACCTCTTATCTTTTTCAAATATAACTGTTATTATGATTATAAAATATGAACCATTCTCTAATCTTAGAATCCTAGTATATTTATCATGAGATGGAATATCATTGACAAATCCTTTATTATTAGAAGAGTTACTCATGTTACTCATGATACTATTCACGTCAGGTACTGTATTTCTTTGATTGACTTTCATTACTATACCATCTTTAAAGATTGTAGTTATTACTCTTTTCACCAGCATGATACTCTTACATTGAACTATAAGCAATTTAGTTGCTTTCTCACCCTTCTAAAAATTTTATATACTCTTATTCTCATCAAATTCAAAAACCATTCCTATGATACTATATACACTATTCTGTTTCTAAACGTTTTACATGAACTTGCTCTAACTTGTTTCTTTTCTAATTTCAATTTAAGTTTCTTAATAGTTTTACAATCTTTCGCTTTCTCTGATTTTCTAACCTTATTGATAAATATATTT